CCTCCTCATGCTTGTTCTCTCTTGCTATCTAAGCAGTATGCTATTGGGAGGCAATTTGATTAAAATATATGCGAAAAACTTATGATATCCAGGATGAGAATCAAATAGGTTTCAGACTTTATTGTGCCAAAGTGAAAATTTATTTTTACATATAGGAAGCAAACGTTTACGGAGCGAATACCAATTAAGAAAGCAAAATGAATTCCTTAAGGTCACATGTATGATAACAATGTGTTTACGCTATGTATTTAATTTTTGATACCCAGGATAACCTTCTAAATACATTTGGGCTTTTTGTGCCAAAAAGCCCATTTTTTAACTACTTTTATAAGAAATTTCATTTTTGAATTAAATATAAGTCAAAAAAAAAAATAATTATTAATAAAACTTATTATATAAATTGTACTATATATAATTAATTAATTTTAAATATAATTTTATTAATACAAATAATGCTTAATAAAAATTATTAATGCCTAATAATGATTTTTGCCTGATAAATGATTTTTTACCTAATAAACGATTAATTATAGTTATTATTAATTATAAAAAATCATAGAATATCAGATAATAATTATTATTAGTTTCTAATATGCCCTGTCTTCTTGTAAATTGTCATTTATTTCCTTTTTTTTCTTAATCTTTTCATAAGCATATAAAGTATATAAAATAATTTAAGAGAATTTATGATCAAAATTAATTTATTAAAAATGATAATCATTATCAGTTTCTAGTACATTTTGTCTTCTTATAAACTGCTATTTATTTTCTTCTTTTTCTTGACTTTTTTGTAAACATATAAAGTGTAATAAAATAATTTAAAAGAATTTATGATCAAGACCAACTTGTGAAAAATGATAATCATTATCAGTTTCTAATACATTTTGTCTCCTATAAAGTTCAACTGAATTGAAGTTTTTTTTTTTTCTATTTTTCTTTCATGTATATTATTTTTTATATTACACTTTTGCCTTATAAATTGTTCAAAAGTAAATGTAATAATAATAAGACTAAAATAAAATATGTATTGTATATAAAAATTTTTTCTATTAAATGAATATTCTTTTATACTCAAACAAAAATGATTTACAATCACATGTACTGTATATGATACATGAAATAACTAACATTGAATAATATAATTATATTTTATCTATAGAAGTTATTATTTTTGTTAAAAAAATTGATTTTATATTATTTAATAAATTCATTTTTGAACGCTCACTCAGTTACCAATTATAAAATTCATCAGCTTTGAATTCTTTTATAATTCCTAAATCTTCATATTTTGCAATTACATTTCTAATAGAAGGTTTAATATCAACCTTATATGCTCTTTGAAGGAGCAATTAGGGTTTTATTAAAAAAGATAAATATAAATCATTATAAATATGTAACTTCGAAATAAATTTAGGGATTTTTTTTAAATATCGTTAAAATAAATTATTTTATTTGTTGATTGTCCGGTGATTTTTGTCTGGGAAGGTAGGAGGCATTATTATTATAAAGCAAATAACTTATTTTGCAGAAGAGTTAATAAAAGAACTTTTGTTATACTAAATTTCATGTAAAATTTTTTTTAAAAAAATAAAAAAAATGAAAGGTTTAAAGGAAAATTTGCCATGTAATATATAAACCCAAAATTTTTTCGTAAGCCTCATTTTGTTATATGGGCGAAGTATCACAATCGAGCAGTCTCAAATTTGTTTATTGCATGTGGCGCAACGACAATTATGTTAAAATCGTGTGACACCGGTTCCTTGAAAATTTCACATATATCTTCCTTTTTTGGTTAACTTTATCTTGGAATAAATCATGTATTTTAGCATTATCATTAACATCTGTTACTTTCGCATGATCGCATGCGGGCATAATTCAGCCTAATTTTTTTTTCATTCACCGTCTTCATATACTTATTATGTTATCAAACATAATGTTAATCAATGCAGGGTCGAAGATCAATTTTGATGCAATATTTTACGATGGGGAACGACATGGAATTTCAGCAGGTCTTATCGAATGTCTGATTTTAAAGATTAGAACAATATCCACGTACGTCATGATTTCTTAAGGCGCAGTATCTGTCACCGGGCTTAGAATCGACTAAAAATTCGGTTCGTCTTTTAAAACCGCAAAAGCTTCTTGACTAATAAATTCTCCTTAACAAAGTTTTTTGACTAATAAATTCACACTTTTTTTTTTTCTTTTTCTTATTAAAATGACTTATAATTTGCCTTTAAATGAAACCTTTAAATATTTAAATGAAGATTTGCTTGCTTGCTTGCTAGTAATGAGACTTTGGTGCGAAATTGCTGTTCGAATTTTGTGGAGAATAATTAAAAAATTCGAAACTTTACTTGCATATCTTCCAAATGAATCCGAAGCTACGTTAATTCAGAATGTTAGCAGTTTTAAGTATATATCAAATCAACAGAAATATCTAATGTGTGTTTGAGGGTGCTGCTGGTGGGGAAAGACAAAAGCATATTTACAAACACTTCAACTCGAAGATATATATTATTTGAAGACAATGAAAACAACATTCAATTGGAAACAAAAAGAATGGAAGGAACAGTTACTTTTATTACCAATTCTGGCGAATTTATAGATGAGTAAGTACATATAATTTAAAATCTAAATAAATATTATGTGTACATATTAAAATTATTTTTATTATATAGTCAGAAATCTTATTCCACCCCTTCGATGTGAACCATTCTCTAGCAATAATACCTGTAATTCCTATGACTCATCATCTTTCCGCACTATTCTTTCTCAATCAAATAATAAACTTCCATCCTTAAGTAATAAATCAATTACTAACCGGTTCAAATACTAATGCTATTCGACCACTCAATTTAATAATATTATTTCGCAGTATTAGTTCATTTCCGATGTCTGATTTAGAATTTTTTTTTAATTTATGATAACTACGCAATGCACAGATAGTAATATTTAATGCATTTTTTTTTTTATCAAAAATGTTTGAAATAACCATAGAATAGTCACCGGATATCCTAAATAGTCATCCGAACAATTATCCTAGAGTAATAAAATAAAAATTTAAAAAGAACAAGAAACTATCTTCATTATGAAGTGTAGGAATATTGTCATTTCATCACGGCCGAAGTAATATTGTAGTTAATAATTTTTAATCATTTGTTTTTTGCATTAAAATTTTAATTGCTTTACAAAAAGATTAATATAACGAAAAATATAAAACAAATCTATATATCTAATATTAGTCATCTAGATTATTTGTTGCCTTATAGGGAAATAATCAAAAAAAAAAATGATTACTATTAACCTTACCAAGAATTTATTGGGAAAATGCAGTTCTATCCATGTTTAATAAACTATGAGTATGATAATTTTAATTTTATATCTTCATAATCAGTATCTTATAAGATATTCGCATTTATATATTCTAATGTTTAATCAAAGCCAAAGATTGTATTTGATTGTTTTATAAAAAAAAAATACCTTAATGTAAATTTGTTAGTAATAATAATAAATTTTTTGGTGCCCGGAAACTTTTTTTGACAACCATTCGGACAATTAATAATTTAGTGCAACCTATATGTAAAATATATTTAAGAATTTATTATTATATTTTAAGGATAATCTTATAATTTAAAATATAATTTAATATTTAAAAATATCATGTATTTTAAAATAAAGCTTTATTTTTTTTCTTATTTTATTTTTTTATATTTTATTTTGTTTATTTCGATCGCTCGATTCTTTTTTAAAATTGAAGATTGTTTTTTTTGTAGCTTAAAAATTGATTGAAAGAAAACATAGCATACATTTAAACGAGCTTAATGATATTATTTTTAATTTTTTTAAATATTGCATAAAAATAAAACTTAATATTCTATATGATTTATATATTATTCATGCTTAAATCTTAAAAATTACTTAGACATAAATAAGTAAATGGGGATAAAAAAACAGAAGTTTTCACTTCGATGACATCTAAATTATGATCTGTTCACGAGGCGGGTGATATGCTTAAAATTATTTAAAAAATTATCCAAGACCAATGCATCATTCAAAAATTCCTCCAGACGAATTTTTCGAAAGAATCATCTGGGGAATTGTGGCAGAAAATTCCCAAGGCTTATTTGAAGAAGCCGAATGGACCCTTCATTATTTAAATCGTTTGTGCTGTCCATTAATTTCTTCTTTATTAGGAAACAAATTGTGACAAAATTTCAAAAATTTGCCTTGAAGAGTAATCATCTAAATAAAATAACTGTTTATATTTTATGTAACGTATGTTGAGATAAAAAGTGTCATTTAGATACCTGATACATTTCCAAGATCTTAAAGTGAACCATGCATGAATACTTCCAATCGTTAACGATCGTATTCCTTTTTACATTCATCACGTTTAAAGTAATCTCTTCAAGATCTAACACGTAACAAATACACTTTCTCATGAATACGATAATCTTCAAAAACACTTAGATTTGGATTGGAATTTTGTATTTTTCTCTGGAGAAATTTTTTTCTAATTAAAAAAAAAATTTATATATAAAGAATAAGTAGAATATAAAAAAGAATACCTTTAAGATCATCAATCTCCTTGTAATGCACTTTGTCCATTGCATCATCAGTGTAATTTGAAATTCTTGCTCCTCATCACCTCTACTTATAAGGTCAATTAGATAAATGGTAGAATGAATAATTTAAAAATATCATCAGCATGCTTACCCAAGTTTTCTAAGAGAATTTCGCCAATGAATTTCTTTCTGTTTAGTTTCTACCAAATTGCGCCACTATTTTCGAGCTGGGTTTTGATTTTTAACTAATACAAAACATAGTGAGTTGGTTATAGAAAAACGTTGAGAGAATAATAATAAACATAAATATAAACCTCAATTGCTCGAATCCGATTAATTATTTCGGTTTTTTCATCAAGTTTTCCTTGCTCTCATCTAATTCTTCTTTTTTACTTTCTAATATCTAAATAATTAGGAAAAATGTAAACAAATATTATATATAGATATATATTTTTAAAAAACAGATGTAATTAAACATTAATCTGAATAAATACTGATTTGGCTTCATCGGCTTTAATACGAATGGAACGAGAAACTTTGAATTTCTTTTGTAAGCTTTTCTATCGTTATTTAATTCTTCTAAATCTCTTTCACTTTTTGTTAGAGAATTTTCGATTTTAATCCTATCATTTTCCGCCCTTGATTTGGCCACTTGAGATTTGATAATTCGTTCATTTATTAAAACAAGTTGACATGATCTAATTTAGACTTTTGAGCTCGAAGTTTATCACCCCAAATTCCAAAATCTTATCTAATTCTAATTTTAGAAGGTTGTCTTTTTAATTGATCTGACTCTCGGGTTAGATGTTCAATATGTATTCGAAGTTGTCCCATACGCCTGACATCATCTACATTTGGATTATTTTTTTTGCCTTATAGGAAAAAAATCAAAAAAAAAAAATTACTTATTAACCCTTAACAAGAATTTATTATTAAAATACAATTAAATACGTACCGTAACTCGGCTACTCTTTTTTTTCAGAATATATAATACGTTTTGCGCAAGCAATAGTTCAAATTCTAATTTGGGATAAACCTGTCATCTTTCGGCTTAATAAGATCAAAAAGACGGAAACATTTTCAGGTATTGTATCGGGCGCATTTACATTGTAGGCAGTTCATTCAAAAGAATGAGCATGGCGCAACCTAAATCTTTTTTTTTAAGGTAATCTATACAAGTTTGTCCAACTTTAATAGAATCAACTACGATGTTGTTCAATGCAGGACAGGCAATTGAAATCGCAACATCGTATTTATCATCAATGACACCAAAGGTTACCCAAACGATCCTAATTAAAAAAAATTAAAATAAGATTTCATCAAAACAAATTTATAGAACGCTCCGCTCCGACGAACCCTTTTATACGACCACTACCTTTGAGCTTTATCAAGCTGCTAAGAACTTCTCCCGTAGACTTAAAAGTCTTTTCGTCTCATCTTCTTTTTGTCGAGAATCGGCAAGACTAGACTTGAAATGTTCTTGCTGACTATGATAATGCTAAAAGTAATAAAAGATATTTATGAGAATCTTAAAA